CGGCAGCCAGCAGCAAGGCTGAGGTTCCCCTGACCCTTCACACACACACACACACACAGTTGGCGGCAGGTTCCCCCGACACACATGCTTGTAGCGGGCGGAGAGGTAGGGCATGGAATTTGAACACTAGAGTTGTACAAGAGGCAGAGGCACAGCTTTGGACTAGGAGTCCAGAATTAGGGAAGATTGGCCACCCTTTCTCCAGGACTCTGAGCGCCCAGTTTCCTCCCAGGCTGGGTCAGTTAAGAGTCTGATCTGGTTGCAGCCCCGACTGAAGCTCTCCCGCTTTGTTCCGCAGTGTGGACCTGGTCAGCAGCCAGCCCATGGAGCTCTCGGACATCACCCTCATTGAGGGTGTGGGCAATGAGGTGACGGTGGTGGCAGGTGTGGTGGTACTGATTCTAGCCTTGGTCCTAGCATGGCTCTCTACCTATGTAGCGGACAGCAGTACCAACCACCTCCTGGGCACCATTGTGTCAGCAGGAGACACATCTGTCCTCCACCTGGGGCACGTGGACCACCTGATGGCAGGCCAAGGTACCCCAGAGCCAACTGAACTCCCTCACCCATCAGAGAGCAATGACGAGAAGGCTGAAGAGGTTGGCGAAGGTGGAGGGGACGCCACCGGGGAGCTTGGAGCTGGGGGGGGTGCTGAGCCCAGCCTGGAGCATCTGCTGGACATTCAAGGCCCGCCCAAAAGACAGGTGGGCCCACAGAGCGGCAGCCCAGAGGGCTCCCCTCCCACCCTCATCAATGTGCGGCTCAAATTCCTCAATGACACCGAGGAGCTGGCTGTGGCCAGGCCCGAGGATACCGTGGGTGCCCTGAAGAGGTGAGTGAACTGGAAGCTGGAGGCTGTTCCCCAAGTCAGAAAATGTTCCCCAAGCCAGAAAATGTCGGATTCAGCCTCTGCCCAGGGGGAGGCGGATTACTGCCTTAAAAATCCACCCTTTCTGCTTGGCCCTGCCCTGCCAGTCTAGGTCCTTCTCATTTCTCATCCTGTCTTCCCTTCCTCCTCTCATCCCTGTAGCAAGTACTTCCCTGGACAGGAGAGCCACATGAAACTCATCTACCAGGGCCGCTTGCTGCAGGATCCAGCCCGCACGCTGCGCTCCCTGAACATTACCGACCAGGCTGTGATCCACTGCCACCGATCCCCGCCGGGGCCCACTGTCCCTGGCCCCTCTGCTTCCCTGTCCTCCTCCTCCACCGAGTCACCCAGCCTTGGTGTCAACGTGGGCAGCCTCATGGTGCCTGTGTTCGTGGTGCTGCTGGCTGTCGTCTGGTATTTCCGCATCAATTACCGCCAGTTCTTCACAGCACCAGCCACCGTCTCTCTGGTGGGCGTCACTGTCTTCTTCAGCTTCCTGGTGTTTGGGATGTATGGACGCTAAGGACTCGGAGAAAATGAAGGCATGGTCTTCTACCTCCTTGGCCTCCCCCTTTCCTGGCCAGAGTGGGCCGAGGGCCGGGGAGTCGGGGATGGAAAAGATGCGGTGCCCCCTCCAGAGGACGCCAGGGGTGTGTGTGGCATTGCCTCGTATCCACGAGGGTACAGGTGTCCCCTCTGTGAAAGCACAACTCAGGTAGAAGCGAGGATGCCGCCTTCCCTCACTTTTTAGGGTCTTAAAGCTATCGAGAGCTGATGGCCTGTCTCTGGGGAGGTTAGGCGCTGGGGCGCCCTCCCCGCCACATGGCCCTGGCTTTTCTGTGTCTGCATGTCTGCTCCCCTGCCCCCAGGGCTACCGGCCAGGGCAGCTCAGCATGGCCCCAACCTACTTCTGGAGGAGGCCTGGAGTAGCCTCTACCTTTGCTAGTCAAGTATCGATCTTTGGAGACTGGGGTGACACAGCAAGAATAAAGATGCTACCTTTCCTGAGAGGCACCTAGCTGCCCTGGCCCACCACTCCCCGCCCTTGTAGCAGGAATGGGAAGGGGGTTTCTCCACATCTTGGGCAGTTCCCAGTGACCCCTCCCCACCCCCTTTTTTAAAGAGCACTTTTAAAAAAGAAAAATGGTAATCGTCCTTTATAGAGCCATCAGGAAGGGGATGGGGCAGGAAGCCAAGCCCCCAGCATTGGGCGAGGCCAGGCCACAGCTGCTGCTCCCCTAAGCCTGAGGCTGGAAGCAAGACTGCTCTGGCCCTCAGCCAGCATCCTGCCCAGCTCCAAGGACAGCCCTATGGCGCTCTGGGCCCCAGGCCCTTGCCTCAGGGGCTCCTGGAGGGTCACTGGCTGAATAAAATTCCTCGTGTGGTTCAGGAGCCTCTTTCTGTGACAAGAGCAGAGCTTTGCTCTCTCCCAGCAAGCAGCTGGGTAAGGAGCGTGGGGAGGCCCGGCTACCAACGGGAGATGCAGTTTATTTACACCAGCAGCCATGGGGGCAGGGGGGATACACAGCGCTTACAAAGTTAGCTACCTGTACAGGATGGATTACATATGCAAAAATAAAAATCTCAAGACCACAGGACAGCGTGAGCCCCACCCCCCTCCCCCAATGACCCCAGCATGCGGTAATGCCAGGCGGGTGGCCCCTGGGCATGCGGGGGGGAGTGATGCATGGAGGAAAAGCCACCGGCCATGGAAATTAGTACAGAACCCCCCCACACACACTCAGACACATGATAGGATACAGGGCGGACAATACCTAGCTGGGGTGGGAAGGATGGGACTGAAACCCACACAGCCTGCTGTTCAGGAGGGGAGTGGGGAGCTCCTAGCCCCTGTTCAACTACATGGTAGAGGGGGGGCACTCTCCCCAAAAGGAAAGGGGGTGGTTCCCTCAGGGTCCCTGCTGGACCAAGCCCATCTCTTACCCAGCCTGGGCAGGGGGCTCTGTCCTGAGGGGGGTGGCCAAGGAACAATGGGGAAGTCGATGTAGACAAACCAGTTCCCAAACTACTTCCCACTTCTCCCTCCGACTAGGAGGGGGAAAGGAAGAAGCCAGAGAGGAAAGAATGGGTGAATTAGGGCCTGAGGTGCAGCTGCCTCCAAGGGGAGAGTGGCCCCCTGGTCTTCCTCCCTCCACCTTCACCCCACTCCCGAGACTTCCTTTGGAAGCAGGCTGGAGGCTGCCTGAGAGCCGCCTCTCCCTTTGGCTTCTCCTGGAGGGAGAAGACTACACAGGGTCAAGAGCCAAGAAGCCTTGGCCCCGGGACTTACCCTAACTCCTGCTGCCAAAACAGGTTTGGCTTCCTAAAAAATAATCACAATTCTTGGGTTAAAAACTAATTTGTAACCAGGTGCCAGCCACAATCAACCATCTGGGTGAGATTGGGGCTCCAGCTGGCCATCGGCCTGCCTGTTCCCTCTCTCAGGGTCCCTAACCCGAGTCAGACCAACTAGTCCTGGGTACTAGCTACCCAAATGGGGGCTGGCTCCTCCTGAGAGGAGGGCAGGGACACGTCCAGCCAGTGCGGTGGGAACATGGCTCATGGTCAAGTCCACCCAGTCAGCTCTGCTCCCAGCCTAGGCCGTGGTCCTCCAGCTCAGCTCCTGGAGTAGGGTGCCCGCGTGAGGTGGGTGGTACATCGCAGGGATGTAGACCGGGCAGGCGGGCACTGACCTGATTGGCCCCCAGAGGGGCAACACCCTAGGCATTGACGCCCCTCCACTTCCCACTCTATTCCAAAGTAGAGGGGGAGGCACAGGGTCTGGCTTTCCCCGGAGCCCAAACCACAAGTACGGAATAAATAACTTAAAAGCGGCCAAGGCAGGGGGAAGAGGGCAGGAGCATGGCGAGGGACTGAAGCTGATCATGGAAGAGAGGGGTGGCAAGCAGCAGCTGGGAACTTAGGCTGCTCTAGGAGGGCAGGGCAGGTGGGAGGAACATGGGGCAGCCCCAGGAGGGTGAGGCTGGGCCCCTTCCTGGGGCAGGGAATGAGGTAAGAAAACATTTCAAATAAAGCAGCACCGTTCCCTCTCATCTTGGGGCCCCACTCCTCTCCAGCCCAGGGGCAGGGAAGAAAGACAGGGGGGAGTCATTTTGATACACTGCTCCCTCTCCCTGTCCTCCCCCGCCCCATTCCTTACAGCTGCAGAGGCTGGGGGGTGGGGGTGGGGGCTTTCCTGGCACCCAACAACACAAGGACAGCTCTTGCCGCCAAGGAGGCCCATGGGGATTGAGGGGAAAGGGCTGCCCCTCTAAGGGGCAGGGGAGGTGGTGGCTGGTTCCAGACACCAACCTCAGCAGACAGCACTCTGTGTCTGCCTACCCCAAGGAATGGGGGCATCTGGTAGGATTCTGCACAGACAGGACACGGCTCAGCCCTGCCCCTCAGCTCCAAGCACCGGACCCATTCACATTGCTGAGGGCAGCTGGGCGAAGCCCCCTCCAGGCTCAGCTTCCGACCCACAGCCTTGAGGGAGCCACAATGCCCCTTCGCAGGGCCTAGTCCAGTTCCTGGGGTGGGGGGCAGGCAGTGCCCGGGTGCAGTGCCCAGGCCAGGCCCCTGGCCTAGCCAGACATCCAGTAACTCACAGAATAAATAGGAAAACTGCCTCCCCACCAAACTGATGTCCAAGGCATGACGCGTGTCCAGGTCTGAGTCCTGCATGCCGAGGGTCCGTGCTCCTTCGCCGAGGACCCTGCCACCCCCCAGGGGTGCATAATTGGATCCTCTGCCTGCCTGGCCCACCAAGCTTCCCAGGCCCAGACCCCCAGCAGCTGTCCATTGGCCAGGCTCTGCCACCTGGGTGGGGCTGGGAGAGAGCTCTGCTCAGCCATAGGCTATCCCTGGAACCCGAGTCAATTGATGTCATCGTAGATGCTGGGCGTTGGAGGGGCCGGTGGCTTTGGCTTCTTTTTCTTATTGGAGCCCAGGCTGGAGGCTGTCCCCACCAGGCTCAGATGGGATTTCTTTTTCTTGGTTTTCCGTGACTCGGAGCTATTGGTACCTGAAAAGAGAGTGAAGAGGGATGAGCTGGGGTGGGGGTAGGGGAGGGAAGAGGTGGGGGCCTGTGGCTGGGACAGGAGAGAGAATCCCAGGGGTCTTCCCTACCTAGACCCCATCCCTGGTTCTCGCTGGTCTTGGAGGAGCCGGAATCCGAGGGTGAGAGATCGGAGGAGCCGTCCCACTGAAGCCGGCTGATCAGGGACTGGCTGTCAGTCATGTCAAAGCTGTCGTTATCCAGTGAGCTCTCCACCTCTGGGAGGATGCTGCGAAGGGGCAGATCAGGGCAAAGACGGGGTGTCAGGGCGCCCAGCCAGCACTCCTACGCCCCACCTCTGGCTCCCACCCCACTTGGAGGCTCACTTACGCTGAGGGCCCAAGGAAATACACCCGCACGGCTCGCCGCTGCTCATCGGTGTGCTGTGGGCAGCGCAGGGACCTGGGGCCAGAGCAGGTCAACTAACTCAGGAGCTGCCCTTCCCCTCAGCGGCCCAGGCAGGAGTGGGGCAGGGAAGGGAGGCAGTTAAGAGCCCAGGAAGGGGAGGGAGGCCCATAGCTCAAATCCTCAGATTTAAGGGGTATGAGCAAGAGGATCCCCACTTACCTCGTGCACATCTTCTTTGTGTGTTCCGAAATCACCCCACATTGCTGGAAAGGAAACAGAGCTGAGAGGGGGGAAAGGCAGGGAGTTCCAACTAGCTGCCACCCAGTCCCCCCGCCACAAAGGTTGCACTGCCGCACAGAAACAGCCCTCCCCCAGGGCTCCAGAGCCATGGTCCCAGGAAACTACCTTCCAGAGAGGAAAATGCTGTGCGCTGCCCTGACTGTTGTCACCAGTTTGTTCAGGGCCTTGAAACACACCCCCATCCCATACCCAGGGCCCACCCTGGCCCTCACCGTGGTAAGCAGGCTGCGCAGCTCCTCTGGCCCCAGGGCCTCATAGCTGATCCCAGAGGAACTGTTATACTGAGGGAGAAGCAGGGGCACAGTTAAAAGGCAGCAGGCACAAGGGTGGCAGGCTCTCCTAGCCCCTCCCCTAAGTGAGAAGATGCCAGGACCTCCCACCCCCACCTACACTGGGAAGAGGGCATTGAGGAGGGGAGGGGGGTCCAGGGAGAACACAAACACCCAGATGTCCATAACAACGAGGTTGCCCCCCACCTGTCCAAATCCCAATGACCCCCACAGCAAGGAAACCAGGAAGGGGCCACCTGAGAGGGGCAGCCTGTCCTCACCTTAAAAGGGTCCGAGTTGCTAAGTTCCCCTGAAGAAGAAAAAAGAAGGGGAAGGGTGTATGATGCAGAAGTACAGACAGAGAACCCTGAAAATAACCAGAAAGGAAGTGGGGGTGACAGAAGGATCACAGGCCCTCCCTCAATTCCCTAGTTCCCCCAAGCCCCAAGCCTCTCCTCCCCACAAGGAGGCCCGGGAGACATCCCATTTGCCTAGCCCCCACTTACCATTTTTGTGTTTTAAAGACTTGGATCTTCGAGGGGAATTGGGGTTCTGGAATGGGAGATACCACAGCTTTGGGGAAAGGGGAATGATAAGGGGGCGCCGAGAACCCGGGGAAGGAAAAGAGATTTGACAAAGAAACAGCCTCAAATTGCTCCTCCCCACAACCCCACGCTAGACCTGTCTACTCCAGTCCCGTGCCTCCCTGCCACCCCCCACCCCCCAGCCTTTGTGGCCCTCCTGCCCACCAGACATCCTCCTCCCAAACCCAGAGGCCCCCTCATGACCTCAGACTGGAGGCAAGAGCCCCACCCCCACCCCCTTGAAAGGACTCCCTGCCCAAAGGGGAGGGGAGCTGTCCTCTGCCCCACATTGCTCCCACTGGCCCGGCACTCACCTTGTCAGATTTCCTCTTCTTGGCTGTGGAGGACAATGGGACAATGAGCAGGGTTACCTCTCCACCTGGGGCCAGAGAAAGACTAGCCGCCCCCCTCCCCACCTGCCTACCCTACACTCCCATTATTCAGGATGATGACCTATGGCCACTGTAGACCCAATCTCTGCTTGCTCACCTCACCCCAAGAGCCCCAAACTCCCCAGCTCCCCAAACACCTTTCTTCTCCGAGCCGTAGGACCAGTCGTTGTCGTTGATGTCATCATTGTCCTCCTGGTCACTCTCTGACTTGTTCATGTTGTTGCTGTTGGCAATCCTGTAGAGGACAGGAAGGGTTCACGGCCTCAAGAGCGGAGCCAAGGGCCAGCCACCCACTGCAGCCTGCAACTGTTTCCAGGGCCCCCAAAGGCAGGCACGCCACACGGGAAGGGTGGCTCTGGCTTGAGGAGGGCACGGCCCTCACCGGCGGTTGGCGATGCGGCTGCTGTTCCGACCCATTCCCAAGCACTTCTCCAGGTGGGGAGCGAAGCGGGAGGCGGCAATGCTGCGGCTGCAGTTGGGGCAAACACACTCCTTGCTCTTCCACTGGTTGAAAACCTGTCCAAAGATGTCCAGTCCTGGCTGGTCCACGATCTCTGGGGACAGGAGAGGTGCGGTGATCAGGGGGGAGCAGGGGACTCCTCATGGTCCCCACCCGTGGGCCCATGGTCTCTGAAAAGGCCCTGTCTAAGCTCCAGGTCTGTATGTGGTGGGGCTGCTGGAGGAGGAGGAGGCGGCGGTGGCACTCCCAGGGCAAGGCGAGACTGTACTCCTTTGCCCAGGAAGCTCACCAAAGTCCTTCATGCTCTCAGGGTCTGTGTCATCCAGGAAGAAGTAGCCACACTTCACAGCCCGGTGTACCTCGAAGCAGAATCCCAAACAAGAATCCTCGACCAGGTCCGTGTAGATCTCCTGAGCGATGGCCTGGGCCCAGGGGAGAACGAACGTCCATCGTCAGAGTCACCGCCCACTGGACTGACTGAGACTCTCACCGACTACATCTCCTGCCACCTCACCCTGGCCAGAAATTAGGCTTTCTCTGCCATTTCCCCATCTTGACTTTGGGCTCTTCCTGCCTTCTCGGCTGGCTATCCCCTTGAGGAGATGAAGCTGACTACCCAAATTCCTCTTTGGTGTGGAGGCCAGCTATTGCCACGCAGAAACATCAGAGACAGAAGCAGAGGCACACGTGGGGGAGCCCTCACCTCTAGTTTGCTGTTATCCAGGCCAGACAAAGACATTTCCTCCATTTTCATTTGTAAACTCTTGTGGAGACGGCACTCTGACTGTTCATAGCACAGCGGGCGGCAACACGGCTGAACACATGGGGTGGGGGGTGGGGTTGTTGGTATGAGTCCAGGGCACCTCTGAAGATTACCATTACCTCCACCCCCCACCCCCTTGCCCCTCTGCCTATGGCTTCATCCTGGCACCAGGAGCTACCCTTCCCCAAGGCCCAGGCTCACAGATTCTGAACGGTCGTTCAGGGCCTGGAAACCCAAAGACAGCCTTGTCCTTCCCAGGTCTGAGCTCAGGCTCGGGACGACCTACTGCCAGTCAGAGCTGGCTCTCTAGGAGGCAGCAGCTCACTCCTGGTCCCCAAAACTCAAACCCCTTTTTGATACCCATGGTGCAATGCAGCAGGGGGAGGAGAAGGAACTGTAAGGCCTTAAGCAAACCCACAGGGTGTGGCAGAGAACTGCACAGACTCCTAAATAACCCCCCGCCTTCCCTCAAGGCTCTCCTCGGTCACCTCTGCCTTCAGCCGGGATGTCCACTTGGGGGGGTACTGCTACCAGAAGTAGGAATGGCCCTAGGCCCCTACCACCTTCGCCCCACTCTGCCTTCCCAGAAAATAAGCGTGCTGCCACAGGAAGGGAACAGAGCTCCCAGCAGCCTAGCTGCGAGGGCCTTTTCCAGCCACTGTGGTCAAGAGGGGGGTGGTCCCATGGGATGGCATGCCAGGAGTGAGCACTCCCCTCCCTTACCTGGCCGTCTTTTAAATAACCAACCACCCTCTCCCTCCCTCCCTCAGGACCAGCCCGGAAGTCTCTCTAAGAGCCTCAAAGTCCAGGAACCCCCACAAAAGGATTCACAAACAGCGCCCCGAGTTTGGGGCCCCTCTCAGCTGAGGGTCCGAGTTTGAGGATCTGCCGGCCTCCAGTGGGGTGGGGAGTGACAAATGAGCCAGGGGCACTGGGGAGGGTGGGGGGCCGAGTCTCGGCTCTTCCCCCCGTCCCTGCGGCACTGCTGCTGCATCATACCGACTGCGGGGAGGAGAGCCGAGCTGCCGGAGGCCAGCGCCGGCCCGGGACAGCCCGACCCCCCGAGACTGGGCAGAGTGGGACGCGTCCCGACCTCTCTCCTTCCCCGCCCGACAGCCCCAGCCGGCCTGGGAG